AAAGTTGGGCAAGGTATGCTTTTTTTTAAATCATACGAATAGCTAGCTGCATAGCTGCTAGCCGCAACAGGATTGTGTTGTCCTTGTGCCAAAGTTTTTTTGCATTATAATATTGAATATCTATTTTCAAATAGTTATTTTGGTGTCAAGTGTCTGAGTCTATTTTCACATAAATAAGTTTCTGTCACAATATTTTCTTTATTTCAGCTTTCTTTTTTCAGCAAATTCATTAATCAAATTGTGTACAGAATTGTGTCCAGTACTGAATACAAAAGTTTTATCTAATAAGCCTGTAACCAACTGAAATCTTTTATCCGCAAATATTTTCTACAAAACTCCGTTATTCACTACCATTTTAATAATTCCAATTTTAAAAGTTTTAGCACTAACTTCAACCAAGGCTGGCGCGATAGGGGGGTGCGGGGTGGGGGAAAAGGGGGTGTGTGACACCACCACCACCACCATCCCATCAATGATTTTTAGTCGGCAAATTGGACCCTTAGTCAGCAAATTGGACCCTTTTAGACTAGTTGTAAATGTCGACCCTTTTGATATAGGTTAGTCGGTAATAAAAGTGATAATAAAAGAATCTATTTTAAAAATGTTTCAACTAATTGAAATGTTAAAACAAATCATGTGACTTAACACATAGATAAAGTATTTTTCATTAAGGATTGTCCATAAAGTACGTACATAAAGAATCGTACATAAAGTATGCTCGAATGGGGGAGAGGGGTCAATTATGAAAAAAAGAAGACACTAAATTAAAAAAAATATCATGAAATGTTGAGTAGGTAGATTAAAAGGGTAGGTACCTTTAGGGAGGTATAGGGTATTTAAAAAAGTGTAAAGCAAAATTCAGGATGGGGTGGGGAATCAAAAAAAAAAGCTTACGTACTTTATGGACGACCCCTTAATCAATCATTGATATTGTTTAAAAGTATTGTTTAAAAGTAACTTATTGTGTGATTCTTATTGAAGAATAAACTACTCTACAATAAGAACCACATGACATAATATACAAAATAGTTGGATAAAAATTAAGTTCATTTTTTTATAAACCTTATGAAAAAATGGATTATTTAGAAATTATAAATATTTTAATGAGCGTAATTGTTAAAATTCTTTAAAAAAATACCATTATATAAAATAATAACTTTATGGAAATTTGATATTTCAAAATATCAAAAGGGTGGAGCTGGCTCCTGAGCCAGCTCCGAGCCAGCCCTGTCAAGAAATATTTTAGCTCCAGCTCCGGAGCTGCTCCAAAGCCCTGTTTCAAACTATATTGATCTAATCCAGAATATATAAAAGCATACCTCCTAAATCTAAACTCATCTAAATCACTATTCCCTGGCGAATCACATATGATAATATTTAAGAAAACTAGCTTTCAAATTTCTAAATATCTTTCCGCTATTTTTAAGTCCTTAAAATTTCAAAAAAAAAGAGACAAATCAAAAGTAGTTAGTTATAGAACTATCAGTATAACTTGTACCTTATTTTTTATTGTACAAGTATTTTTGAAAAATTATACAAAAACATATTACAACTATTGTATTATTAACAACATCTTATAAAGTCTGCACCAACAAGGCTTTTATCCAGTGTATTCCTGCCTAACCTTCTAAATGTCATTGATTATTGGACATCATTTGATAATAATTTTCATATTGATAACATTTACTTTGATTTTGAAAACTCATGATATAATTGGATATTATGTTGGATAAAAAACTTTCTGGAAAATCATATACAAAGACTTGTCAATGGCAATTACTCAAACTTGGTATTAAAAAAAAAACTTTAAAATAGTCCAATCAAAAGTCTATTTGCACAATTTTAACATTTTTCATTCTATTGAAAATATTCGATCTCTGCAAAAATTACAAAACAATATTGACTCTCTTGTTAAATGATCTCAAAAATGGTGAATAAAATTTGATATTGATAAATGCTCTGTACTACACCTAAGACACAACAACAAATCCCATACTTATTGTATGTATGACTCAGAACAAAATATAAGAGTTAACATTAAACCCACAAATTGCAAATAGAGTTTGAAACAAAATATATTTAGATGTTCTCATAGATTTCAGTTTATTATTTTCAAAACACACTTCTATTTAAGTCTCCAAAGCAACACAAGAAAGAACATTTACATCTTATCCGCATTTATTATCTTTCAAAAAACTATTTAAACTAAGATGTGTTTTGATATGTAAACCAGAAGCTTTGATATGTAAACCAGAAGACAACACCAATAGGAGTTAAGAAGATTTTTAAAACAAATAAAATATGACTTTTTGTATGAACAAAGATTGTTGGCACTAAATGACTAGTGTGAAATACAGACTCATTTGTGGAGATCTAATTATTGTCTTAAAATGGTGCAATAATAATATATGTGATAAAAGTTTATTTAAATTGATAGCCATTTTAATAAAATTGATAGCCATTTTAATACTAGTACTCATGTCAGGGTGACCACAGCTCCTCTAAAATCCGTTATTATTCTCTAAAAAGTTAAAAATGTGATAAAAAACCCTCTTTAACTCCTTTTTTTTATTTATTTGTATAATGTTCAAAATTCATCATCTGCAAAACTGATTAACGTCTGAGATGAGGAAACTGATAACGTCTGATTGTGTTCTAAAAAATCAATTTTAACAAATCCATGTCATCTAACATAAAAAATAACATTGTTGATCCTTGTCCAAACCCCAATTATGTGGAAATATTGGCGTTAAGCCAGTAAAAAAAATCCTCTAAAATCCACTATTTTTATTCAAAATTTTGTAGTTTTGCAAAATAAATCCTCTAAATTAAAGGAAAGTCTCCTCTAAAATCCTCTAATATCCTCTTTTTCTTATAAAAATATTATGTGGCCACCCTGCATGTATTTAAACAGTTAAACAGAAAAAAGCTAGTCAAGTAAAGGTTTTTAGAGCATGCAGGGACAGATGCAGTAAACAAATGAGACTTAGTTGAATGATGAGAAAAAGTGAGAATGAGTTTTGGTTGATAAAGCCAGAGATGATAACTCCTTTGAGCAGTAATAATGAAGAGATGCAACTTTACAACAATAGGAAAGATGCTCAAGCTTGGCAGATCGAGTTCAAGCTTTTATGTTTACAATGCGTTTTTGGATCTTGTCTAAAGAGAAAGAGCATCATTAGAAGAACCAATCCAAATATGGCAAAAGTGTTCCATACAGGTACAAATAAGAGATTTGTAAAGGTAAAAAATGGAATCAGATGTAGGAAAATGGTAAGCATGATAAAGAGAAACAACCTTAGCAGGGGCTAGTTTAGCAATCAATTGTATATATGGTTTCCATGAAAGGTCAGTAGTAAACCATAATCCAAGAAGGCGTAAAGAAGAGGACTCAGTGAGAGGGTTACCATTCATTAATATAAGAATGTCTACAGCATTTTAATAGTTGTTTGCAGTAAATAACTGAGTTTTGTTGGAGTTAAAATTTATAAGCCACCAAGAAGGCGTAAAGAAGAGGACTCAGTGAGAGGGTTACCATTCATTAATATAAGAATGTCTACAGCATTTTAATAGTTGTTTGCAGTAAATAACTGAGTTTTGTTGGAGTTAAAATTTATAAGCCACTGTAAGCTCCAATCTGTTACAGAAGTCATATTAGACTCAAGATTGGCTGCCTGTTCTAAGCAATCGAAAAAAGAAGACTTTTTGTCAAGACAGGAGTATAAAGTTGAGTCATCAGCAAAAAGAGCTACTTTAGATGTAAGGTTGTTGGGAAGATCATTAATGTAGATAAGAAACAAAACAGGACTATGGATAGAACCTTGAGTTACCCCAGAAGTTACTGGAAATAAAGAAGAGTGTTGGCCTTCAAGGATGACTTTAATAAAGCGGTTAGAAAAAAATAATTTGATAATCTCAAATATTTTCCCAGATACACCATATAAAGCAACTTTATGAAGAAGACCAGCATGCTAGACTTTGTTGAAAGCTATAGATATGTCAAGAGTAATAGCACTAGCCTCTCCGTTTCCTTCTAATGCACAATAAAGTCTTTTAGTTACAGCATTCAACAAGTCAGCTATAAAGCAAGAGGGTCAAAAACCGTATTGATTTTCTGACAGGAAGTTATTTGAGATAAGATGTGATAAATTAATTGATCAAGGACTCAAAGACCTTTACTAATAACAGAAAGAAGGCTGATTGGACCATAATTGGAGGGGTCAGTATGTTTAACAGAGTTTTTGAAAATTGGAACAGCATTACAACATGCCATTTTCCAGCAGGCAGGAAATCGAGACTCTTATTAAAAGTTAAGTGAGAAGTGAAGAGAGTTTTGGAGAGCAGTTTTATAAGACTATGGCAGGGATGTTGTCTAGACCACACGCTGTAGAAGAGTTTAATTGAGATATGACGATATGACTTAAGCAACAGAAGCTGGAGTGGTTTTGAATGTCTCACAATGGGTTAGCTTGTTTAATTTGAATGGAAAGAAGAGAATGGCCATAAAATTTAAGAGTTGAATCAGAAGAAAAGTTTATACCTTTATTGTAAATTTATTGTAAATCTTAATGATAGATAAATATTTTTGAATTTGAACTTTGTCTCAATTTAATGGCTTCGATATATAGTGACATGCAAAAATGCTTTTTCATATATGCATTTTATTTATTCAAACCTTTTCTTTTAAAAACTTTTTTGAGGAGATTTCATAATTTATTTTAATGTTTTAAATAATTTTATTTGTGTGTGTTTGTGTGTGTGTGTGTGTTTGTGTGTGTGGTGTGTTTGTGTGTGTGTGTGTGTATGTGTGATGTCTTGATACTAACTAAAATAAATTTAAGGGCGCAATTTATTGCTGACCACACCTTTATGTATAATAAAATATGTTTATACCACATATTTATGTATAATAAAATATGTTTTACTACACGTTTTTGTATAGTAAATTGTCTTTTTTAGTGTATAAACTTCATATAATGTACTTCTTTAATTTTTTTTAGGCAGCTAATATAAAAAGATTAACAGCATTTCAAATTGACACTGTCATAAAAAAAACAAGTAAAAGTTTTTATTCAATATTTTTGATACTGTATTTTAAACATTTTTCTGAGTATTTATTTTTGTGTTATTAAATTATTATGAAAAAAGCTTTTAAGACACTTTTCATTTAAGATTTCATCAGATAGTAAAATCTAACTATTTTACTATGGATGAAATCTTAAATGAGAGAGACATTGAGCTGGCATTCATAAATTGAGTGAGTATCTGTTTATTAATCAGATTGACCCAACAATGTAGAAACAATAACCCAATTATAACCTGAATAACCTGTCTCTAATCTAAAATAAGATATATCATGCTTAAAATAATAATCAAACTTTATGAAAAAGAAGATTTTAATTGAACTTAGTTTAATAAATTTAATTACTTATTAGTTTTTTTTATACACACAGTCTTTACATTAAATAATTATTGACAGTCTTTACATCAAATAATTATTCACAAACAGTTTTTACATCAATCAATTAGTCACACACAGTTTTTACATCAAATAATCACAGAATAAATATAATCAATTGTTCACAAACACTAAAGAGATCCACAACAAATAATTGGAAATATACACACATAAAAAAACACATATTTTCAAACTAACATCAGCATAAAATTCATTCCTATAAAGTACTAGCATCACATATTTTCTTACAAGTTATAATTTTAACCAGGGGCTAATCTAGACCCTTTTCGACAGCAAAAAATGCTATATATGGCATATTTTCTCGGCAAAAAATGCTATATATGGCAATGTTTTCGCCAAATTTCCTTAGGGCAGGCACCAAATTATTTTTCTAGAAAATACTGCTTTCAACAAAAAACTCCACAAAAATTCAATCGCAATAAGCAACATTCATTAAATATTCAGATGCACTTTACCAACATTAAAGTTCAATCAAATTCTTAAATCCTCCAAAGATGGCACACTAAAGTAAAAGGGTTTTAAAACTATTAAAACAAATAAAAAGATGGCACACTAAAATAAAAAAAATTAAGAAAATAAGTACGCAGAAAATAAGTATGCAGATTAGCTTCTAATGCTTCTCATTAGAGTTTTTTTTTCTGTGCAGCCAATAAAAATCTGAGCTTTGAACAACATCCAACAACACCTTAAATTGATTACAAACACTTCCTAAATAAAATAAATAAGCAATTTTGTAAAATAACTTCAAGAAGTCACAAATCTTATTAACTTTGTTCTTATTTTTTTTAATGATGATTCTTGTAATTTGAACTACTCAAATTGTAAATGAAGGAATATAGTAGCATCTTCATGCATTAGTTAAATTACTTTTTGTCTCCATTTTCTTACTTTTGCTTTCTACTTTGTGACCCCTTTGCATATTTTTTTGGGTCTCTTTATCAGAATCATCTATCTCTTTGAATTCTTCTTGAACTATTAAATTCTAAGTATGAGCACAACAAAGAGTATAAAACAAATTGTCATTGCATAGTAATACACCTTTCAATGTAAGCTGCCTTTTCAACTTACAGTTACATTATTTTTGGAAGATTCGTCCAGTGTATTATAATTTTTTTTTCTTCTGTATACTATATTCAATCAGCAATGTATAAATTTTATATATAAGCTTTCCAGTGTGAAAGGTTGGCATTAAAGAAAAGTTAAGAATTTTCTTTTGTAATTCTAAATTTTCTCAGTGAGACATCAGTAGTTATAAGTGTCCACAAATTAAATGTTAAGCATTTTTTTTCCTGGAATGGATTGCATTAAGTCTTTGAATTTGTGTTTCACTTTTTATACATTCTCAAAACATCTACCTAACAATCTGTTTATGTTATGGTATCAAGCTATTATTATGCTTAATAGCATAAATTGCATAATTTTTTTTTTAAAACAAGTTCACTCCCAACTAAGCAACCACTAATTAAGTTTGAAGTTAACATATTTCCAAGCAACCACTAATTAAGTTTGAAGTTGACTGAAAGCAAAGAAGAGAGTAAAGAGCAAGATTGACAAAAAAATTAAAATCTGTATGAGTCAGAAAAAAATAAAGGTGGGAGAAAGTTTCAAAGCACCAATGTACATTTCGCAGCGCTTATGAAACAAAGTATTTTTAAAAATGGTAAAAATACTGATTAGTCGGTCAAAATAAAAATCACCTTATAATTGGTTAAAAATTAAATTATCTGAAATTGGTAAAAAAAAGAAAACTTCATAAATAGAATCTATCAAATAAAAATTCATAAATGAAATCGGTCAAAAAAAAATTCCTTACTTCATATATCTTTATAAAATTTCTATATCGAAAATAAAAATCAATATAAAATTAAATAAAAACTAACTATAAAACTTTCTATATTGAAAATAAAAAATCAATGTAATCAATCAATGAGATTCTTCATAAAATATATATTGAAACAGCAATTTATGCTTAAAGGGACCACCAAATTCCAAGACATGTTGTGTTCATATTAAATAGAGTGTTAAAAAAAAACGTCTGAGCAAATTTTTTTTGATTAAAACTAATTAATAAGTATAATAATATAAATAAAATAAATAATAACTAATAAATAAATAATAATAGCAAGAAAAACAAATCTTGTTGTTTTGATCGAAGCATGTCTTCTCCATTTTCTGCGGTATTTGGAGTCTTTAAAATAAACAGGACTTTTCCAGGTGCATTATACAGACTTGATAATTTATTCAAGTGCGTTTAATTCATAGAAGTTTTAGTACATGATATCATTGGAAACATTCTAGAAATTCTTTAAAAATTTTACTTTTAAATTTTACTAAAATAGCTAACTATAGTTAGTTGTTTTATTTTCTAAAATCTTTATATTGAAAAATGTTTTATGTTTTTTTGTAGCTATCAGAGCCGTGCCTACATGGGCCATGGCGATGGTGGACCTAGGGACCCCTATGGCGCCAAGTCGGGTTATATAATATTTCCGATGATTAACGAGTGTGTTCTATACAATTTAATGCAAGTTGTTTCGACAAATCTAAGGAACAGTCAATTAAACCTAGCACTAGAAAGAGATATAAAAAATAAGAATATACTAATAAAATATATCATTTGTAATTAACTTTCAAAATTTTGACAATTTAAAAAATATATATTATAAAACATTTATTTTTGTAAACAAATGATAATAGTTTAAAAGATTTACGGCTTTGCAGATGTGGCTCCGAGAATGAGCCATAATATTAAACTAATAGTTCATTTGATAATATATTCTTAAAACAATTTATGCTAAATATCTCAAAACCCAACGAATCGTGAATAATGCAATTGCTAAAACATTTCAACAGAATACTCCAGAACTTTGTTTTGCTTGGTCAGCGTATTTTTTGAACCAGTAGAATTAGTTTGTTCGTAAATTTGGCGGGTTTTTAGTGTTAGTGCATATTCTTTTTATTCTTCCGCAAGATGTTTTAAAAACATTCAAGTTAATTATGTTTCCATGCATGTCCGTAAAATAAAAATTAATATATAATAATATTTTAATTTTTAAGCCCACCGTCATAATATATATTGGATGTTATAATAATGGAAATATAAATAATGAAATAAGATCACCTCAATACTAAAAAATACATTTTTGAAAATCAGAGAAAAAATGTGTTAATAATTTTTTTTAGTATTTTTTTTAGACTTATGTTAGAGGAACAATCAATTTTTCAACCCAGAGTCTTTAGGTATAATGACGGCAAGGACTCCGGGGCTCCAGGCTTAAAAACAATAAGTTCCAAGTCATTAAATCTCATGTTGTTTTTTTTATAGCAGATAATAAGTTAACCAACATATTTAGAGCTTCTGGACACCAGAGACCAGGAAAAAATAGAGATATAAAGCCGAAGTCCTTTTGTGACTCCGCATTCCTGATGTGTATTTAGATGGTTCTTAAAATATTTAAAAAAATGTTATTTTAAGTAAATAATGCACAAAATGTGTTCTTTAATAATCAGCAATAATTTATGTATATTTATATAGATTTTCAAAAACTTCGTGAACGAGCAGTTTCGTCAATTACAACAAGTTTATCACATTCTCCAGATAATCTCAATCCAGCTAAAGTTTCATTTGATTCCAATATAATATCCGATCAGAATAAATTATCATTTGATCAAATTAAAGTATCATCCGATTCGAATAAATTATTATGTGATCCGATGAAACTATCATCCGATTCGAATAAATTATCATGTGATCCGATGAAACTATCATGCGATCTGATGAAATTAACATCCGATTCAAATAATTTATCATGTGATCCGATAAAATTATCATGTGATCTGATGAAATTATCACCAAGAAAGCAAGAGAATTTAGAAACTTCAGATACATTAAATCTTTGTTTAGTAAATGATGGTAGTAGTGCATTGTTAAACAAAACATCGTGTAATTCCACTCGAAAAATTGCAATGAACTTTAATAAGTCCTCATGTAAACCATCAGATGCATTGGCTTTTGATGTGAGTGAGTTGAACTCACCCAATACCGTGAATGAAAATGCAAATGATGCAGAGTCTTGTTTAATTAAAAAAGAAGTATGCGCAGAAATAAAAGTTTCAAATGTGTTAAAAAATGTAAATGCAATCCAAAATATTAATGACGATTTTTCAGTAAGTAGTACTTCAGCTAATATCGATGAGAATAATGACGATGAACCTGATGTTGTCATTGAAGATGAACAATATGAAAATAGTTATTTGGATAGCTCAACAGTTAATAGAAATATAATGGGAAATAATAAGTTAATAGAAATACTTTCGCAGTACGACATAAAAGGTCGTGGTGTTATAAAACGACCAGAGGTAAGCACGAGTCCATCTATTTATCAAAGTAAATATGTTAATGGTTCTAATTATAATACGTATCGTGGAAACCCAAGAGATCGATATTTACATAAAGGACAAAGAGGATTTAATCGAGGAAGAGGTAGCCGAGGATACAATAAAGACTTTCAAAAAGCAACAAACAGTTATAATAAGAGATTAACTAATAAAGATATTGATAAAAATTTTTCTTTATTTGAAAGAAAGTTTGAAAGTGAAAGTGATAACTTTGAACCTAATATTGAACATAATCAGCCATTCATGTTTGGAATGCGTCGACCTAGAGCATGTCTAAGATGTCAGTCAAACTCCCATCAATCAGATGATTGTAATGTCAACAACCCCTTTTTCACATAAGGATATTGTAAAGTAAAGCGTTTTTTTAATTTTTTCTTGCAAGGAGATGTGACAACGAGATACTATTTCTCTTTTATTGTATTCTTTTATAAAAAATATAAAAAATTCTGTTAGTTGAATTTTTGTTGAATTATTTTTTTAATAAGGAAATTGTTCTACTCATGAAGATGTGCTGTTTTAATAACTTTTAATTTTCCAAATTTGTTTACACATGTATCGTATTTTTTATCATTTTTATTTTCTTAATAATGTATCTTTATGATTCTTTATATCTGAATTTTATCAAGAGTTTATTACAAGAGTCTCTTGCGGATCGGTAAGTTTAAGTTTTTCAAACCTATGAGACAGTCGGATAAGTACAATAGGGTGGGTCATAAATTTTTTTTTCTTGTTACAGGCTCTAAAGATTGTATATAGTGATTAATAGTGATACTATCAAATATGAGAATGATTGTGATAGATTTAAAGGGCGCAACTTTATTGGGAAAATTATCGGTTCCCTAATATTTTGGAGGAAAAGTTTTTCAAAAGTAGGTTGACCTGGTACTCAAAAGAAGCGAAATTTTATAAAAAATTCAAAAATAATAATCGTTTTATAAAATCATATTGATGGAAAAAAATGTTATTAAAAAACTTATAAAAATATAATTTTTTCATTTTTAGTTAAAAAAAAAACCATAGTTATTATGCAATAAAATCTTAAATAATAATTTTTATATAAGAAAATTATTATTTTCGAAATTTTTATAAAATTTTGCTTTATTTGAGTACCAAAGTCACGTAATTATGAAAAAAAAATTTTTTAATAATAATAGGGCCTGCTAATTTTTGTAATCAAAGTTGCAGGTGGAAGACATTGTTCAATCCATAAAATTAAATACTTTCCTATATTAGTACATAAAAAAACAACTTTCTAGGCCATTGCCAGGTTAGCAACTCAAAAAAAAAATTTTACGACCCACCCTAAAGTAAATGTCAATATTTGCTAGAGTTGACGTCATAGCATTTGGTAAACGATCCTTGAATACAAACCCAAATATTCTCAAACTTCGTGGATATGGATAGAGAGATACTGGCAAAAACTTGCGTTTGACTAGGGTGTACCAGATAGGAACTTTTGAATTCCGGCCGGAACAGGAATTGTTAAGAAAATTCTGGTCGGAACGAGAATTATACTTAGGGATCATCCACGAGGTATGTACGCTCTGATGGGAAGAGGGGGTCTGCAAATGGTGTATATGAGATGGAGGGCTGGAATAATTATAAAAGTAAGGAGACACTAAATTGAAAGAAAATATCATAAAATGTTAGGTAGGTAGCTTAAAAGCGTAGGTACTTTTAGGTAGGTGAGGTGAGGAGTACTCTAAAAAGCGTATAGCAAAATGCATTTTTTCTTTTTTTTTTTTTATTTGCATTCACTCCCAACAAGGCTGCAAGCAACCACTATCAAGTTGGGAGTTACTAGGAAAAAAAAGAACAGAGTTATAGAGCAAGGAAACGGTTGACAGAAGACTTAAAAAGTTAAAGGTTGTATGAGTCAGGAAAACATGAAGATGGGAGAGAGTTCCAAAGGATTGAAGTGCGGGGAAAAAAACTAGATGAATAAAAGTTTTTAGAACATGCAGGGACAGATACAGTAAACGAATGAGACTTAGCTGAATGACAAGTAAAACGAGAATGAATTTTAGTTGATGGAACTAGAGATGATAACTCCTTTGAGCAGTGACCATGATAGTATTTGTAGAAAAGAAAAAGAGATGCAACTTTACGACGATGGGAAAGAGGTTCAAGCTTAGCAGATAGTCCAGGTCCAACAACATTTACAATGCGTTTTTGGACTTTGTCAAGAAGAGAAAGTGAATCGTTAGAAGAACCAGCCCAAATATGACAGCAGTATTTCATACAGGGACGAATAAGAGATTTGTAGAGGTAGAGAATGGAATCAGAAGTAAGGAAATGGCGAGCACGATAAAGAGAAGCAACCTTAGCAGAAGCTAATTTAGCAATCGATTGTGTATATATGGTTTCCATGAAAGGTTAGTAGTAAGGGATAATCCAAAAAGACGTAAAGAGGACGACTCAGTAAGAGGATTGCCATTCATTAATATAGGAATGTTGACCATATTACGGTAGTTGTTTGCACTAAGCAACTGGGTTTTTTTAGAGTTAAAATTCACAAGCCACTGTGAACCCCAATCTATTACTGAAGTGAGATCAGCTTCAAGATCAGCTGCTTGTTCTAGGCGATCGAAAAGAGGGGACTTTTTGTCAAGACAGGAGTATAAAGTTGAGTTATCAGCAAAAAGAGCTACTTTAGATGAAAGGTTGTCAGGAAGATCGTTTATGTAGATAAGAAACAAAACAGGGCCCAGGACGGAACCTTGGGGAACCCCAGAAGTTACTGGAAATAGAGAAGAGTGTTGGCCTTCAAGGATGATTTTAATAAACCGGTTAGAAAGAAATGATTTGATAATCTCAAAAACTTTCCCAGAAACACCATATGAAGCAAGCTTATGGAGAAGACCAGCATGCCAAACTTTGTCGAAAGCTTTAGATATGTCGAGAGCAATAGCCCTAGCCTCACCGCCTCCATCTAATGCACGATAAAATCTTTCAGTTACAGCAGTTAGCAAGTCGGCCGTAGAGCGAGAGGATCGAAAACCGTATTGATTGTCTGACAGCAGTTTATTTGACTCAAGATGAGATGTGAGGAATTTGTTGATCAAAGACTCAAAGACCTTGCTAATAACAGAAAGAAGACTGATCGGACGATAATTGGAGGGGTCAGAATTTTCTCCAGAGTTTTTGAATATTGGAACCACAGATGCCATTTTCCAACAAGCAGGAAAACAAGACTCAGTCAAACACTTGTTAAATAGTTTAGAGAGAATTGAAGAAAGTTCTGGAGAACAATTCTGCAAGACTGTGACAGCAATGTTGTCTGGACCACAAGCTGTAGACGAGTTTAATTGAGATATGACTTTAGCAACAGAAGCCGAAGTGATTTGAATGTCTAACAATGGGTCAACCTGTTTGACTGGAATGGAAGGAAGAGAATGTCCATAAGATTCAAGAGTGGAATTAGAAGAAAAGTTCTTTGCAAATAGTTCTGCCTTATCCTTGGGAGAGGTAATAAGATCAGTCCTATGAATGAAAGATGGAATGTTAGATCTACCCTTGTTAACAATGCTGTTGAAGATTTTCCAAAAGTCTTTAGAGCCTAACTTCTGCGATAAGATGCGAGATTTAGTGAACTGAGAATAATGGAGTTTAGCATCAGAAAGCACCTTTTTACATCAATTTCTTGCAATAATAAATAGCCGTTTGTTCTCAAGAGAGTTGTTCTTTTGAAAAAGATGAAAAAAATGTTTACGATTGGATATAGCAGCCGCACAAGAA